AGGCCTTAGTTTGCCTACCCATGCTCTAGAGCAGTGATTCTCAATCTGTGAGTCCCTAGATGTTGTTGGACTACAGCTCCCATCATTCCTAGCCAGCATGACCAGTGGTTAGGGATGATGGGAGTTGTAGTCCAACAACATCTGGGGACCCACAGCTTGAGAACTGCTGCTTTAGAGGAAGGACCCTGCCAGAACCTCACATCTCCTTCCCAATGCCCATGCCTCTCTTACCCAGCTTTGGGGGTGGGGCACCTCAAGGGCTGGGGGGGTGTCAAATTTTGGCTTTGCACAGGGCATTATATTACCAAGGCGTGCCCCTGGAGCTCATCTCCCTTTCCTTTCTGACAAGTACATTTCACAACAGATCCAATGCGTTGCAACTGTGGAGGAATCTCTACTTTCTACACGTCGAGAACCCGACTTTCCAAAAACGTCGCAGGCAGGCCACCATCGCCCTGAGCTCTGTGGGGAAAATAAATGCTTATTGCAGAGGGAAATTGGGTGATTAGGGCTCAAACCACAGTTCTTAAAGACTACAGATGGAACATGTTGCTAACAGAAAAGGTACCTAAGAGAAAGGGGAAAATAAACAAAACATGGAGGCTCAGATACACTACACTCCAGTGGCAGCAAAATGACACACCTTTCCCTCTGAACGCATTGTGCACTGTCGACGTAACAAATATGACAACGAAACAAGTTTTGATTTGATCAGTAGGCTAGCAGTAAACGTTATACCACAGCACAAGGCTTGGCTTTCTGATCTATAGGCAAGCAAGACTGTTCAGCACATAGCTTGGCTCCCACACCCTTATTCAATATTGATTTCAATTACTTTACTGCTTAATTCTCTCTTTTTAGGATTGCCCCAGTGTACAGTTTGTGCCGCTATTCAGCACTAGGTGGAAATAAGCTCCAAGTCACGCCTGCCTGTGATCACTGTGAGTTGAGCCATCCTAGCGAGATCTGTCTTTGGTTATATTTCAGACCTCAGTCCCAAAATGTACCGTTTAAATTACAAAAACAAAACAATACCTTGACATGGGGGGGGGGGATAAATAAAACTAATGATCCGGGGAAGCAGCAATTGTTTGCTAAGTATGTGTGATGGCCTGGGATTCGGACTCAGATGCTGAACCTGAGGGATCCCAGCCTGCACAGGAGTCCCCGCCTCCAGAACCAGCTGAGCCGGGGCTGGGGCCTCAGCCTGAAGGGTCCTCTCCTGTGCTGGATCCTCAGGTGCAGGCATCAGGTGAGTCTGCTCTGGCTCCTGAGGTGATGGAGGACCCATTGCCTGCAGGTGCTCCACTCTCAGCCCCATCAGGGGAAGCTGAGGTTGCCTCTGGGTCCGGTAACCCTCCAGCTTCTCCTGAGCTGCGGAGGCTCAGGGCAGAGAGGTGGAGGGAACTAAGTTCCCGCAGGAGGAGTGCTCACCTCCAGGCCAGGAGAGGCGAGTCACCGGAGGATTGGGGCCACCCTATGCCTTGGGGCAGATAAAAGCCGGCCAGCCCCAGTCCCAAGTTGCGGGAGCAACATGGTTGGTTGCTAGTTCCTGCCTGAACCCTGTCCTGCTTTCCTGCCTGAGCTCCTGACCTGCCCTGGCTCCCTGCTTGCAAGCCTGTTCCTGACTTCACCCGACTCCCTGCCCTGCACCCAGCTTCAGCTACTACGGACTGCCTCCATGTTGCACCTTTGACCACGGACCAGACTTGGACCTTGCCTCTCGGGTAACCCACGGGACCAGCACAGTATGGCTGTATTTTGTGCAGAAGTGCCAAATCTCAATCTGTGCCTCCCGCACAGATCACATTCGCCACCCGAGCGTCCACTGTACAAACCTGTGCATTTTAGGATAAAATGGGTAGAAATCTTTCTTGGTAAAACGCATGCATAAATGCATATTTTGTATTTTAAAAGCATTAAATATAGCATGAATTTTCATCTGTGTTTTTTGGGGGGGGGAGATGCGGGTGGCGCTGTGGTCTAAACCACTAAGCCTCTTGGGCTTGCCGATCAGAAGGTTGGCGGTTCAAATCCCCGTGACAGGGTGAGTTCCTGTTGCTCTGTCCCAGCTCCTGCCAACCCAGCAGTTTGAAAGCACACCAGTACAAGTAGATAAATAGGTACCACTGCGGCGGGAACGTAAACGGTGTTTCCATGCGCTCTGGTTTCCATTACGGTCTCTCATTGCACTAGAAGCGGTTTAATCATGCTGGCCATGTGACACAGAAAGCTGTCTGTGGACAAACGCCGGCTCTCTCAGCCTGAAAGCAAGATGAGCACCGCAACCCCATAGTTGCCTTTGACTGGACTTAAATGTTTAAGGGTCCTTTAACTTTTACCTTTGCAGATTGATGCACGTAAGTTGTCAATAAATTGATCAGTCCATACCTGAACTAGACATAAGGTAAAGGGACCCCTGACCATTAGGTGCAGTCACGGACGACTCTGGGGTTGCAGCGCTCATCTCACTTTATTGGCCGAGGGAGCCGGCATACAGGTTCCGGGTCATGTGGCCAGCATGACTAAGCCGCTTCTGGCGAACCAGAGCAGCACACGGAACTAGACTTATACCTCCCAAAATGCACATAGATTCATGTGAACTGAAAAGCGGAAAAGTCAACGTTGCAGATTGCATGTGCTGAGCCAATGCATATTGGGCATAGCTGTCAACTTTTCCCTTTTTTTAAGGGAAATTCCCTTATTCCGAATAGAATTCCTCGCAAGAAAAGGGAAAACTTGACAGCTATGGTATTGGGATGTTTTGCATGGATCATCTCCTGAACTGGTGAATTTCCAATGTGGAAGTCAACAGACACAATCCCAACACATGCGCACAGATGCGGGCTTTCATCTGCACACACATGCGGAATGTCGGCATAAGACTCTTTCTTTGCCTATGGCTAGGAGAAATCTGTCTCCTGAGAAATCTCTATGTGGGACAAGAAGCTATGGTTAGAACTGGATATGGAACAACTGATTGGTTCAAAATTGGGAAAGGAGTACAACAAGGCTGTATATTGTCTCCCTGCTTATTTAACATATGCAGAATTCATCGTGCGAAAGGCTCGGCTGGATGAATCCCTAGCCGGAATTAAGATTGCCGGAAGAAATATCAGCAACCTCAGATATGCAGATGACACAACATTGATGGCAGAAAGTAGGAGGAATTAAAGAACCTTTTAATGAGAGTGAAAGAGGAGAGCGCAAAATATGGTCTGAAGCTCAACATCAAAAAAATGGTCCCATCACCTCCTGGCAAATAGAAGGGGAAGAAATGGAGGCAGTGAGAGATTGTACTTTCTTGGGCTCCATGATCACTGCAGATGGTGACAGCAGCCACAAAATTAAAAGACGCCTGCTTCTTGGGAGAAAAGCAATGACAAACCTAGACAGCATCTTAACAAGCAGAGACATCACCTTGCCAACAACGGTCCGTATAGTTAAAGCTATGGTTTTCCCAGTAGTGATGTATGGAAGTGAGAGCTGGACCATAAAGAAGGCTGATCGCCGAAGAATTGATGCTTTTGAATTATGGTACTGGAGGAGACTCTTGAGAGTCCCATGGACTGCAAGAAGATCAAACCTATCCATTCTGAAGGAAATCAGCCCTGAGTGCTCACTGGAAGAACAGATCCTGAAGCTGAGGCTCCAATACTTTGGCCACCTCATGAGAAGAGAAGACTCCCTGGAAAAGACCCTGATGTTGGGAAAGATGGAGGGCACAAGGAGAATGGGACGACAGAGGATGAGATGGTTGGATAGTGTTCTCGAAGCTACCAGCATGAGTTTGACCAAACTGCAGGAGGCAGTGGAAGAAAGGAGTGCCTGGCGTGCTCTGGTCCATGGGGTCACAAAGAGTCGGACACGACTAAACGACTAAACAACAACAGGGAGGAATGGGAAAGCTGTTTATGAAAAAACTGACTTCAGCTTACTAAAAAGAGAACGATCTTCTGTGAGGCACAAAGAAGGATCATAGTTCAGTGGCAGAGTGTCTGCTTTGCATGCAGAAGGTCCCTGGTTCAGTCCTCAGCATCTCCAGATTTTTCTGAACCCCTGAAAAACCACCGCCAGCCATTGTGTCTATAATGAATGGTCTGAACTTGGCACAAGGCAGACTCCTAGGTTCCGAAGGTCTTTCAAATTGACATTCACTTCTCAGCTATTTCCGGGAAGATTGTGTTTTCCATCCACACACACCACAACATCATAAAAAAGCAATTTTAAACACATTTGCACATTGTTAACTTTTGTGTACACACTGCAATCATGTAACAATACAAAACGGAGCGTGCCTCAGCAGGAGACTGTTTCTGAGCTGTCCTAGCTCAAAGAGTGTGTATTAAAAAACAGTTTTTTTTTCCATTTTACACTTAAGTACGGGTGGAGGGTTATTTGGGCAAAAACATCTCTATGCAATCAAATTGTAGCTCCTTTCCTATTGGAGGGAGTATATGCTGAGTCACTTTAAAGATCTCAAAGCACTGAAAAATAAGAAAACGACAAGAAGGGCTCTTGTTACTGGAATTCTTTAGCTTAATAATCCAAACTTGCTATTTGTATATCCTGGTTATTCCCCTATGGATGCTTCATACACATGCAAGATCAGCGCCTGCTAACTATTGTTTCTACAACTGTTTGAATTATATTCCAATTCATTTAGCAGAAGACAGATTCTGAATTCACACACACACACACACACACACACACACACACACACACCAATGTCACTCTTACTGGTCCTTCTAACATGCTACTCACAAGGAAAACTGAAGGATGGAATTCAGTGTAGTCCTAAATGGAGTAAGTGCCTAAGAATAAGATCAATTTGCATAACAGAACTTTCCCCCCTCTGTTGTGGGGTTTCCCTGAGAAGATTTAGGGGGTGTGGAATGGGGGGAGATGCCCCATTGTGCAAGCAGACCTTGTGCCATGAATGAAACAACTTTAAGTGGATGATTGCTATATTTTTAACACAGAGACCGCCAGGGGCTTAGGCTGGAATAGCTCAGTTGGTAGAACATGGGACTCTTAATCTCAGGGCCGTCAGTTCAAGCCCCATGTTGGGCAAAAGATTGTGGCCCCTTCCAACTCTGCAACTGTTAAAATTATACAATTCAAATGAGAGAACTAATCTGTGAGAACGTATGCAGACGAAGCTGCAGGTGTCAGAATTTATGCAATAAAAATCAACTCGGGATCTTGAATGACCTAACATAACTGCAGAAATTTTGCTTTAGAATTCTACTAATCTAAGCATCATGTTCTTCACAGGGATATGCTTCATGAACATCCATTGCCCTGGACTCATTCAGGATGCAGAGTAGGATATCAATTCAATAAATAAGCAAATAAATATAGAATAATTTTGGAGCACAATATGCAGAAGCAAAATGAAATCTACTGTGTGTTTAGCTGTTGACCGCTAGTTAAACTGTGACAATCTGTTAGCTCCAACAGATTGCTAGCACCCAAAAGATTGCTAAATTTGACTATCTTTTGCCTTGTCTCGGGGATAGCACAATCCTATACAGGGCCACTAAAAAAATGAGTCCTACTGAATTCAGTGAAACTTTTCCCCAGGTAATGGTGTATACAAGATTGATGCCCTAACCCACACCAGTTTTAAAACCCAGTTTTAATAGCAGCTTGAGGGCTCTGTGGAAGCAGCTAATGAGAGGGAAACTCTCCTTAGGGAACTCTTAAAGGAAATCCATGGGCAGCTTAGTTGGAAATTTGTTTTTGTTTGGTTTGGTTTTTTAAAAAAGTTCTCATGAATATCCACCAGCGTTTTACTGCAAATTTCCCCTAATATAAACATCTGTATGCAACTTTGGCCTGATATACACATTTTGGCAACTTTCCTTACTATTCATCTTTGTTTATAATTTTCATGAGTGTATGCATTTTTTTTAATGCACACCTTCAGGAGTGGACTTTAGTAAACCTTTGTCATAGGGTGCCCTGTGCAAGGCCAAATTTGGCACCCCCAAATGGATCTTCTCAAGTGTGGATCTTCTAAATTTTGCACTCACACTGCCCTAAATCCAGTGCTGCACCTCGCCCCAGTTTCTGTGTTTTTGGACACACAACCTGCCTGGAGAACTGCATTGCAAAATTCGTTCAAAGTCCTAATTTCAAAGGATTGACTGTGTTTCAGTTCTTGCGTTGTTTCCGAATGTGAGAGCATGCTAGGTTCACCTCCCAATGCAATCTGGGACCGTCTCTCCTTATATGTCCCACAAAGGAACTTACGATCTTCAAACAAAAACATATTGGAGGTCCCAGGCCACAGAGAAGTTAGGCTGGCCTCAACCAGAGCCAGGGCTTTTTCGGCTGTGGCTCCGATCTGGTGGAACACTCTGTCACAAGAGACTAGGGCCCTGCGGGACTTGACATCTTTCCGCAGGGCCTGCAAGATGGAGCTGTTCCACCAGGCCTTTGGCCAGGGCACAGCCTGAATCCCTCCTTTGGTAATCCTCACAGAACTCTAGCCCAATGGTTGCCATTAATCTGATTTGAATTAATTTCATAATGAAATGATTTTAGAATGTTTTATCATTTTACTGTTGTTAGCCGCTCTGAGCCCAGCTTTGGCTGGGGAGGGCGGGATATAAAAAATTATTATTATTATTATTATTATTATTATTATTATTATTATTTCTCCCCCAGCCCTAGAGACATTAGATGCACTCTGGGCCACACAGCTCCATCAAGATCCATTGGGCAAGAGGAGGTCTTTGGAACTGTAGCTTTTTAGTTATGATACATTTTCAGGCAGAGCAGCCGGGTCATTGTGGGTTTCCTGGAAAAGAAATTTGGAGAAAAGGCGCAGGAGGAGGCACACCTGTAATGGACAAGCCAAGGAAGAAAATGAACAATTGATCTTGTAGCATACAGGATCAAATGGCCTGGAGCAACAGAAAACCACTCTTGTTAAGAATCCTCTACGGAAGCTGGTGGTTCTTTGTGTATTTTGTTGTATTTTCATTTTCTCTAACTCCTCACAGGAATAGAAATGCCAGGTGATATTTAGCTCTTCGCCTCCAATAATGGCTTTTGGTTATTGTAAAAGGAATAGAATTATCTTCTCCTGTCTAGTCCAATATTAAAGCTGTATAAATCAGTGCTATGCAGGCTGGGTCTCACTGTGCTTCGCTGCTGAAGAAGTGCAATAGTGTAACTTTCTAGCCTTCATTTATTCCCTGTTTCAGCTTCGGCACTGATTATTAGCTTCTTTTTCTTTTTCTCCCCATGGAAGTATCATGTGTAAATTATGAATCCAGTTCCATCATGGCCCTACGGACCTTTTCTCTGTACGTATCATTTATTTTATGCTTTCTTCTTCTCCACATAATTGTGTTGGAAGAAATGCAAGAGAAAAATTTCTATGTCTCAAACTCACAGAGATCCGACAAAGTCACTATTCCAGCTATTATATCCCTGACCTCCTCAGAGATATTTCAGTCTGTCTCTGAAGAGGGGTAAAAAAAAAAAAAAAAAAAAAAAAACTGGTACAATTTTATATTTATTTTTCAATCTTGAAATTGCATATGTTCTTGAGAAAGCATGCAGGCTTCCTTAAAACATGCCCTGTTGCTATCAAGCATACCTGCATTTAAGCCAATTTATCTGTCGCTTTCCTTTATCTGGAATTAATGAATTTAATTGACTGCCAGGGGCTTAGGCTGGTAGAGCAGTTGGTTAGAGGAGATTAAAAATCTCATGGTTGTGGGTTCAAGCTCCCTGTTGGGCAACAGATTCTGCCATTGCAGGGGGTTGATTAGATGATCCTTGTGGTCCCTTCCAACTCTACAATTTTATGATTGTTCAGATTATACAATTCAAAGGAGCTAACTAATCTGTGCGAATATATCCAGACCAAGCTGCAGACATCAGAACCTATCTAGTAAAGATCAGCTCTAGATCTTGAATGACCTAACATAAATAACCATACGTGAGAATATTTTGTTTTACTAGTGGCTCTCCTTTTTCTGGAATTAATTAATTTAATTGTGCTCCAATCAAATCTTTAAACAGATGACCAAGTGATAATGAAATAGTAAATTGTTACGAAAGAAAAATGGGTATGTGAAAATAGAATCAGTGACTCCTGTTTGGGAGATTCTTTAAGGGACAAATGCTATGCTGAGCTACCCTTCACAATTCACTCTCAATTCCTTTACACATGTTCATTCCCAGGGAGAGAGAGAAGTGAGTCTTCAGATCTACAGTGGTACCTTGGGTTAAGAACTTAATTCATTCTGGAGGTCTGTTCTTAACCTGAAACTGTTCTTAACCCGAGGTACCACTTTAGCTAATGGGGCCTCCCACTGCCACCGCAAGATTTCTGTTCTCATCCTGAAGCAAAGTTCTTAACCTGAGTTACTATTTCTGGGTTAGCGGAGTCTGTAACCTGAAGCATCTGTAACCTGAAGCGTCTGTAACCCGGGGTATCACTGTACTCTATGGAAGCTATTTTAGTATAAACCCAGTTCTCTTGACAATAGTGACTACTCCCCACATAAAACGGGGGGCGCCCGTTGCGTGGACGCACGCAGCCCCTGGATCTGGAGCGGCTCCGTCAACACAGGCTTGGATTCGCCTTCCCTCAGGTGGGATACCTGGAGGTCTCCACCTACCTCAGTCAGTTGTCCAATCCCGCCTGGGGGAAGTGTTGCCAAGGAGACCAGGCCAGGTAGGGGAGGGACTACCTGCCCACACAATCTTACCTGGGAATCCTCACTTGGCTCCAGAGCTTCTCCCACCCTACCCACCCTCAGTTAAGTCTTATTTTGCAGGTTAACTTTTCTTCACAGGTATGCGGACCCTACTACATCAAGGTCGCTGTTAAAGGGCCGGAAAGGAATTCCCCTGCATTGGCAGGTTTTGCCTTTCCCGTAGCAAAATGTCACAACTTTGGCGGTATCAGACCTTGGGCGGAATCCTTTAGTCTATCTTCCTCTTTGCAGCGGCGATACCAGGGTTCCCCGTTAAAGGGGTTTCTGAAGGGAGGCTTTGACCGTACGCCAAGAGGTTGTCATTGCTCTCCCCTGCGGCGGAGTAACGGGGGCGACCATCTCTGCTTGAACGTATGTTCTCCAGAGCCGGCCCACCCCTCCACACACACACACACACACACACACACACTGGATAACCCTGATGTTCCCTAGGTCCCCGGCTGGGGACTGCAGAGGGATAACGCCCAAAGCCTGAGCCAAGGTCTACCCACATCTGAAATATAATAAAGTTGTGGCCAATTTAATCCCATAGCACCTTGTCATGAGTCGTTATTTCACATGACGGGAGAGGCTGCCCGGGATCCGGGGGACTCCGCCTGTCCACGCAATGATCTTCCACACCCATGAGCATTCTGCCACGAATCACATTTGAATCCATGAGGTGGACTCATGGAACAATTCATACACAGGAAAGTGTTTAATTGGAGCAGCAATTGGCTTACCGATGACCCTCTGAACTATCCTATTAATGATTTCAAACCCATTAATGACCATTCTGTCTATGAGTGACCCATTCTGACAATGGGCATACCAGGGAGTATCATCTTGTTATTGTGTAGCATTACGCAGCTTGAACCTTTGTAGAGATAATTACTTAAGACTGTCAAGATGACCACAATTAAAGGGCAGCTTTCTTAGACCAAGACAGTCTGAGCCAATGTGGTGCAGTGGTTGCAGTGTTAGGCTGGAGAGATGCAAGTTCAATACCCCACTCAGCCATGAAACTCAGTGGATGACCCCTGGCCAGCTCTCAACAGAATCATCCTCACAAGCTTGTTGTGAGGTTAAAATGGGGGGAAAAGATAACCGTGAAAGTTGCCTTGAGCTCCTTGAAGGGAAAGGAAGGATATCAATGACATAAACGAAAGAGGATATTTACATAGATGAAGTTCTTGTGGATTGTGGAGCAGATTTCCTGAATTATTATTTTTTAGTTTTTTATTTATACTTTTCAAATTTATACATTTCATTAGTTTTACAATCAATTTGACATTCCAAAATTTGACTTCCTTCCCGCTTTCTGCGGTTTCTTAAATTTACTTTTTAATG